TAACCAAAGAACATCAGAATGAAGTGAGAGCACATGTCCTCTGCTGTTATGCGCTTAAAAACTGCCTACAGGAAATCAACCTACTTCCTGATAGACTAAGTCATCATCTTACAACCCGTGCCCTCCAATATGACTGTCTAACAGAAGCAGCTCTAATGCCAAACCAGTCAAAGGACCAAAACTGATCACTTGCAGCCAGGGTAGGGTCAAACCAGATGAGACTCTGGGAGCTCCACAGACAGAACTTACAGCATTACTTTTTCTTAAAACTAAAAACATACCCTGCAAGGGGGTACCCTTCCCTGCATGCCATTTCCACAAATGGAAACAGCTCTGCAGAGGTACTGATGGAGGAGTTGCCTGCTTGCCCCAACAAGCAGCAGGCCTTCAGGGTCATTTCAGACCAGGAAAACAGTGTGGCTTAAATACCTCTCCTTCCAGCCTTAGTCTGAACCAGGGACCTAGGAATGCTACGAGCTCCATACACATAATCTTCAGTGTTTTATCTGGTTTGACCCTTTTATTCTTGGTTCTAATTACTTTTTTACTTGCCTGATTACTTATCACCAATGAACTCTTCGTGCTAATGTTACGACTGCCTCCACTTGTTTTCCAAGGCCAGTGTTCTAAACTTGATGACAAGTATTCTGAGGTTCCTTTAAACCAGTATCTATTACTATACATGTTTGCCCTATCTACAAATTTTAGTTATCACAAGCTGCACTGCAGGTTTCATGCAAAGATATATGATCTTTACACACATTCATGGTTTCTGGAAAATGTTTGCCCCCTTCCACACCCAAAAGCCCCTGTACACTTCAGCTGTTATTTTGGGAAACCCACTCATGTCTTGCAGCACACTGCCTTTCTCAGGACTGGTTTCAAATCTGAGAAGGTGGGAGGTGGAAGAGAGTGCCCCGGGGAACCCCACCCACCACCTGCACTTCCCATGTGCCTCTTACCTGCTTGTGTGCTCTTCCTCCACCCGTTCATGTTCACTGCTGCCCACTGTGGCTGTCAGAAAAACCTCTGGCACCAACTCCATACTCGTCCCCAGTGATGCCGAGGGGGGGTAATGTATGTGGCAAGGACATGGGTGGCAGAGCACTCATAAGGGAGATGGTTTAATCCATCATACCCTCTCACAGCACTTGCTGGCCCTTAAGCCAAAGTACTGCAGGGACTACAGGAAAACAGACTCTTTTGCACAACTCTTCAAAACAACACTCCATGGTTTTGCTCCCATGATGACCACCCTCTTGCCTGTACACTTCCTACATGTATGATTCAGACCCACTCTCTGAAATGTTTCCTCCCTTGTATCAAACCTCTGTTTTTATCCCAGCCTCCAACCTCCTTTAGCTACCCTGATCATTCTGTTGCAGCCAGCTGCCCAAGGGCCAACTCTCCATCCTTCCTCATAGCCTCTTCTTTCATTTTGTTCACCTAACCCTAAGTAATCCCTCATTTCCTTAATTAGCTGTCTTTACTGCCCACCTTTGCCTCAGGCCTGGCTCCACCCACCCTTCCAACAGGTTTTCCTGTTATTGGAGGCAGCATAGTGTCCTGGCTAGAAACTTGAAGTGGGAGGTGCAGGTTTGAATCCCCACTCTGCCATGGAAGCTTGCTGGGTAAACTTGGCCCAGTAATACACTCAGCCTAACCTCCCTTGCAGGGCTGTTGTAAGGATAAAAAGAAGAGAAGAACAATGTAAGATGCTTTCAGTCCCCATTGAGGAAAAAGGCAGGGTATAAAAGTAAAGAAATAAGAATTATACTGCACTATTCCCTTCATCGGAGCTGCGGTGGCTCAAGTGGTTAAGACGCTGAACTGCAGGCTGTGGAAGGTCGGTAGTTCAGCAGTTCAAGACCCGGGTGCTGCATGACGGAGTGAGCTCCCGTCTCTAATTTCAGCTCTTGCCAACCTAGCAGTTCGAAAGCAAGACTTAACAAGTAGATAAATAGCCTACCACTTCGGTGGGAAGGTAACAGTGTTACGTGCGCCTTGGTGTTTAGTCATGCTGGCCACATGACCATGGAAACGTCTTCGGACAGCGCTGGCTCTTCGGCTTTGAAATGGAGATGAGCACCGCAACCCTAGAGTCGGATTCGACTGGCTTTCGAGCAAAGGAACCTTTACCTATTCCCTTCATCAAGCCTCTGCCCTCCCCATTTCAGCTTCTCTTATCTTCTGGGACTTCCTCCTATTCAACCATCTTCAAGATCTGAACCTGCCTGTGAACCACCTGCCCTGACCCTTACAGCCAAACTGGATCCCCCCCCCTCTTTCATTCACATATACTGGGAAGTAAATTCCCAACAGCCTCAGAGGCCCAATTCAGATCCAGACCAATACATGGGGGGGAAGGACTTAATCCTTCCCCCTCATGGCTTTTTCAACCCAAGACAGGCCCAGGGGGCATTATTTGATCCAAAATAGGGCCCTGCAGCAAATTAGCTCCCGTAGGCTGGCAAAATGAGCATCAAGGGAACTCAAAACCAACTTGAAGACTCATTCAGCTTGGCTCTAAGATTTTAAAGCTGTACCCAATGAAGAGCTCTGCTTTTCCCTCACAGGGCCTAGACTGCAACTGTGGAGCAGTTTTAATCCATGAACAGTTCAAACATTCATGAACACTGGGCTGTTAGTAAGATGAAGTTTTACGTTGTCTCAAGCAAGGTATGGGCCCCGCAGTTTTGCAAAGTCTGAGGGCACCTGCAAGAGTAAAATTTGCCTTTATGAACTAGAGCCCAGTCTCAGATGTGCAATGTGTCAGCTTCAGGGTCATGGGATACAAAAAGAACTGAAGAAATTAGAAGGTCATAGAACACAAGAGTAGGTCTATATGTGCACATGTAACTGAGAATAACTGATGTAACTGAGCTGCGGTGGCTCAAGTGGTTAAGACACTGAACTTCAGGCTGTGGAAGGTTGGTAGTTCAGCAGTTCGAGGCCCAAGTGTGCCACATGACGGAGTGAGCTCCCGTCTCTAGTTCCAGCTCCTGCCAACCTAGCAGTTCGAAAGCAAGAAATTGCAAGTAGATAAATAGGTACCACTTCAGTGGGAAGGTAACAGCGTTCCGTGTGCCTTGGTGTTTAGTCATGCCAGCCACATGACCACGGAAACGTCTTTGGACAGCGCTGGCTTTTCAGCTTTGAAACGCAGATGAGCACCGCAACCCTAGAGTCGGATGTGACTGGCTTTTGAGCAAGGGAACCTTTACCTTTTAACTGAGAATAACGCTCCAGATGTCTAACAAACTGAGCCTTTGTGCACAAAAGCTTATGCCACAGTAAGGCTGTTAAAGATTAAGGTGCCACAAGAACCCCCTTCTTGTTTTGCTGCAGCTGACTAGCATATCTGCCTGCCTGAAATTTATCCCTTAGTGTAACCAAGATTTCAGAGTGATCTTACAGCTCACAAAGTTTTTCCAACATATTCATTGAATACATAGGGTGTGAAATCAAGCTACACGTAGCCAGTTAAATACAACTGCAATACTCCTTAACCAGGTAATGTACTTCCAGTTTATAAGCTACTTCACTCCATGCTATCTCACACCTACACAAGCTTGTGGATGTTGCAGAGATGAGGCTGTAACAAGTCTCAGCTGGTCCAGAGTATGCCGGCTTTGGCAGATGAGCATTCTTTGAATAGATTCTTGTTAAATTTTTGCCAATGAAGCCTGAATGCCAGATTTGGTTTTGTTTGTGCTTTGTTAACCTGCTTTTTGAAGCCATGATTATCCTACACTCACTCTCTCTAGTGCTCTTCTGTTACTGAATGGCTGCACTGAGAATTCTAAATGTCTCAAATTTAGCACAGTTCAAGAGACTGGGTATGTACATGTTGTATTAAGGAACTTTTCTGCTGGTTGGGGTTGGTGCACACTGGAGTCATAGGGCTGTTCAGGCACTTGGCCTTGGAAAAGTTTGGATCATAAGAAAAACTGATGGGCTACCTGGAATTTTGACCTTCTACCCGATACAACTTGACCTAGGGACAGAACCCGACTCTGCACAGTCTACTTTAAACAACTGCATTATTAAAAACACTAACCTGTTACATCAGATCTGAAATCCAAGAGGTAATATCTAGCTATCCTAGTTCACCTACTTTCATCAGGATAAGGAAGAAAGTTGGTGTGCACCAAAGACTCTTGTGCAAATTATATGCTAAAGTGTAAGAGGATTTGGTGAGAAGCAATCTTGTTCTGAAAAGTTCTTTGAAGAGCTCCTTTTTTTGTAAAGTAAAACCAGTTTCACTGTCAAATTTTTGAAAAAACACTTGGGGTTTATTGATTTAAACTGCAAACAGTCGTTACAAAAGATTTTTTTTTAAATAAACTCACACAAGGAAAGAAAGGCAATGTAGTGAACAGTAATGGGAAAAAAATTACATTCAATGTGTTCTTTGTGCCAGTTATGTTCACCTTAAAAAAAGGAAACACTCCAATCCTGGAATACAGAAATGCAAAGACAAACTGCATTTGGAATGTTTTTATATAGGCACTTGAAACAAAAGGGTTGATTTTTTTCCTTTAAGTACTTAACAAACAAAAAAAGGAAGCAAGCAGTCTTCCTTTTCATCGTCTCACAGCACAGCTTGTGCATATACATTCTAGAGGCCAGCAGCAAAATCCTGACCCTGCTGAAGTCATTTACAAACGTTCCAATGACATCAGCACAGTCAGAATTTCACCCCTTGTTGGGGCAAAGAGAGGCAAAGAAGCACATTAAACTCAATTTGCAGTCTGACACAAAAAAGGGAACGATCTAAAATAAATAATCCAAACACAGCTGTTGCATTTTTTTAAATTAATTTTTCATTTTTTAAAAATAAAATAACCAAAAGGTGTAAAGTTACAAAAATGTCATTGTAGTATAATATATTAAACTGTGGGGGAGGGGGGAAAGAAAAAAGACTTCACAATCTTAAGATTAATATGGAAGATCATAATTTAAACATAAAAGAATATATTCTATGAATTCATCATCCCGATAAATATGAACAAAATTAACAAAAAAGCATAGGTTTCAGCAATAAATACGTTTTGATAAGTTAAATAAGCTTTATATTGTTGTGCAGTGACAAGCAAAATGTGCTCTCCAATTTCTGAAGTTATACAAAATTAAAAATCCAGAAAAAAAAAAAAGCTTGGCGTGAGTGCTCTATGGATAGGTCTATTGTACTCTAGAGCAAACCATTAAAGCTATGACTACTGGAACTTTGTTTACACAGAACTTGCATGTGTGGAATGAATACCGTTAGACACCCCCCTCCCCCTTTTTTTCTGAAGATGTCAAATGTACACATGGGGAACTTGTAGCACCAAAAGCAAGTCTCTCATTGTCCATCTGCCTTTTCCCTCCAGTCGCCAAGCCCCATGCAGGTTACAGTTACTGTCCATTCTCAGCTGTTCTTCTGGTTGACCTGAGCAGATTCAGGCAAGATTAGTCTTTAAAAGGTATAAAGGGTTTGATGTTAACAAGTGCCCACATGCCCTTATGTCTACCAAAAAAATATTGACCAGAGGAAGGGAAGAGGGTGAAAATCCTGCATCATGGCCAGTGATGGGAGCTGCTGGTTCCGGATATTCCCTGCACATCTGGAAGTGCACAGAGCTCTATGGAGGCTGCTGGTGCCCTCTGCAGCTGGAGAGGTAATATAGTCACAGTGAAAAATGTTAAAAAGGCACTACATTTGTAAACGATTATCACTTAGTTGTAATTTGGCACTTATTGTTTCAGCCAGTGAGTGGACTCTAGGCAAGTGGACTATCTTTGTGTTAACATCTAAACCAGAGATGTTAAGGGGAGGATGAGGGAAGAGGAGAGAGATTACAAGCTTAACAATGAAAAAGAGAGGTGGGAAGAAGCCAGGCAGCAACACCAGGTTACTCGTCAGAGATAGAGAGTCTGCTGAAAATGGGAAGGCGTCTTGACGTGTCCAAGATGGGTGAATCGGAGCCACTGTGGCTGCTGCTAGAGCTGCTCAGGTAGCCCTCTTGGTCAGAGAGGGAGTCCTGAGGGCTTGGGGGAGAGTCAAACATGTTGGGCGACTCTGACATGGGTCTGAGGAGGAAAGCAGTGGGAGAGCCCCCACCAGGCACCTGCACCCCCATGCTGGGAGCAAAGAGATTGGTCAGCTCCTGGCTGGAGAAGGTGAAGGGATTGCTGGAACAGTCAGGCAGAGGGGGAGAGCCCAGAAGGTCGTCAGCACTCATGATAGGCGGAGGGGTTATTGAAGTGGGGCTGTCCAGCAGCCCATTGGCAGCCACAGCACTTGGAAAGCCAGCAAAGCTGAAGCTGTGTTGGAGGCGGGGTCTTTCGTTGATGGCGGGCTCTCGGCTGCCAGCCACAGCCCGACGCTCCTCAGCATTGTGGATGAAGTGACAGCGGGGCCCATAAGGGCAGAAGCCGATGGTGTGGAAAGTGCGGCAGAGCTCCGTCTTATACTTCGGATGGCGGGTCAGGCTCCGTAGCTCATGGATGCCATGGGCAAACTGGCACTTGTCACCATATTTGCAGGCTCCATTCTCCTCAAAAGGGCGGCACAGCTCTGTCTTGTAGCGGCTTGAGTTGACTTGTCCACCAGACTGCTTCTGCTGCAGTAGACGCTCACCGCCTTCAGAGAAGGAGCGGTCCCGAAAACGGCTCTCCCTGGGCCCCAGTGTTGGGGCTGGCTCCCCCTTGAGGCTGCCAAGGAGGTGGGTCTGGTGGAACTTGGAGTTGGGCAAGGTGACAGAATGCCTCCTGGGGAAACCCCCGCCAGCTGGAGTTCCCACTGCCTTCCTGTCCAACAGACACCCTCCAGCACCTGAAGGGTTGTAGTTCAGCATCTTGTTACTCTGCAGGGAGAAAGCAAGAAAGCAGTCACCAACCCAGCTCTCTCCAGCACCTTCTAACTAAGCTGTGGCTTAAACTTGGCCTCTTCTCTCTTGCCTTTCAAGATCTGTCCAAAGTTTCTACCAGAACACATTAGACCCCAAATCAATTCCTGTTATGAACCTTTGGGCCACAAACACCTCAAGGCAGAGTGCTTGAATCTAAACCTCTGCTGTTCCATGTCCAGTTATCAAAATACCTTCCAAAAACACAATAAACAATGCTACTACACAACACCCTTTTGCCTTGCTGTTAATTTACTCCGTTTAAGTTCTCTTCATCAATGAAACACATTGCTCCTTTTTCCAGGGGCAAGAGCTTAGTGCCCCACCTAACCACTCCTGGAGCCCTCCTAAGAGCCACAACATCCCAATCCTGGATTTCAGACCAGGCCCTTCCAATGTGACTTTCCCAAGGGCCTAGTCTACTTCCCAAACTCTCAAGCATGTTATTTAACTCATATCTGACCAAATGCCCCTAGAGAGGGAAAGAATCAAGTAGGGGGAGAGAGCAGAGGAGGAGGAGACAGACACTTTCAACTGCCACCACCTTTAAGAATGCCAATGAATAAGCATCACTTTTTGGATGTTCAGAAAACTTTCCAAGCCAAGGTAAAAAGACACACACATTGAAAAAAGGTGCAAGATTTTGGGAAACATGCTAATTACTAATCTAAATTAACCCCATCCCTCTTGCCCATCCCCCCTGTACAGGAGTTGTATTTCATGTGATCCACAGTAAACTTCACCCATAACCACAAGATTCCTTTGCAGTTAGCTTTTTGGGATGCAAAGGAAGCTGTAGCCTCAGTTTTAAACGGTGGGGGCAGGGCTCAGAGAAGAGAGGCAAGGCTTAAGGTTTCACACATTTTATAGGTACTCCATATGGGTTTTTTCAAGGTATTATCATTACATGTCCACGTTCAACACCTTTAGAACTAGAGCTGGAAGTCAGAGGTTCAGAGTCTACACAAAGTCTGATTTGGAATTTATCAGCAGCTATTGTAATAGCAGAAAGAACTGCTCCAATACTGGCATTTAGCAGCTATTTTCAATGAAGCAAAAGTTTCGAGGAGGAAATTTTAGCTCCCCCCTCTCCCGCCTGTTATGCGCTAACCATTAAGCAGCTCTTCGCAACCACATCTTCCTTCAGACTCAAGCTATAAACATGGGGGAAACATGCGTAGGCAGACTTCGGCTACACAAAGATAAGCTCGCGAGAAAAAGAAAAACGCAGCCACGAAGAGGGGGGGTGAGAAAGATAAGGCGGGCGGGCGACAAGAAGCCGCTTCCACCGCAAAACTTGGAGCGGGCGGGAGGGGGCGGGGTGGTTTCCTGCAAACGTTATTTTTAAAAAGCCTCACCCCTGAATCTCCCTCACCAAACCAAAATACACCTCCAGTTCTCCCCACCCCCTCAATTCAGAGAAGATCATGTGAAGGGCTTCTAATGTCCTGTCCCCACTGCTGGACCTCCTGATGGCACTGGTATTTCTGGCCACTGTGTGACACAGAGTGTTGGACTGGATGGGCCTTTGGCCTGATCCAACATTGGCGTCTCTTATGTTCTTATGTTCTTATGAAGTGGCAACACACCCGACCTGTGGAATATCGTGGCCATGTAAACAGCTATCCTTCAATCCCCACCCTGTGTAGGCAACTGGGCATGTATGCTTCAGCAAGTCACCAGAAGCGCAAAAAAAGCAAAAGAACCCCCGCCCAACAAAAAACTTTTCGAACTCGTATTAAGGACCGATCAGCAACCCCAAACATGTCTACTCGTGTCAATTCGTTGGGGCTTAATCTGAGAAAAGTACTTTTAGGTTATATTTTCAGAGGACAGCCGTGTTGGTCTGCAGTAGAACAGTTAGATTCGAAGTCAGTAGCACCTTAGAGACAACCATGAGTTCCAGATTCAGATGGGGTAGCCCTGTTGGTCTGAAGCCACATAACAAAGTTGGAGTCCAGTGGCACCTTAAAACCAACAAAGTTTAATGCTCGGAATAAGCCTTCCTGTGAATGTACACTCCATCAGTTTCAGAGTCAGTGTTAATGAATCCTTGAATCTGGCTGCCAATATTATCCAAAGGACACAGGAAAAGTCGCATCCGTGTGCGCAACTAGTTTTCATTTTGCATTCACAACACCAACAAAAACGTCTTGGTGCAATGTATAGAGATGCAGGGCGACCTCCACAAGAATCTTGCGACTGCAACCCTAAACCTGCTTCTTGGTCCAAGTAAATGGAGGATTAGTTACGGGCGTGCACTTCTCCTTCACACTGAACCCGCAAGGCAGCACACAGCTTGCAAGAACATGAGGAAGCTAACGTTCCAGTGAAGAGAAAGAGCTGACCATTCTGCAAGCCTTAAGTTTGATGTGGTGAGATGCAGAGGCATTTTTAAGTTAGATAGACTGAGTGTCGAAAGTTACGGAACACAACCCCGGCAAGTCACTGAAAACATCATAGGAAACATGGATAAACAAGAGGCAGACACTCACACAGTTTCAAAGGGGGGGGGGGACCAGAAAGCCAAGCAAAATTCCGAACGAGAGGGGAATCAGCATTTTACTATACTCTTGGCAACAAGCCATACCTTTTTCTTAGGCAAGCCATTCTAAGGACTAAGCAGGGCCACAAACTTTAAACACAAACAGAAGTCAAACACTTCAGTTTCCTAACTTGAATATGGAGGAAAAACCGGGACGAAGGACGGGAGGGGGGGGGGGGGGGGGGGCGCGGGGCGGAGGACTTTAATAAAAGTTTTAGAAGACAATTCGGGAAACTTACTTTGCATAAAAGTTCACTCAGGTCGAAGATGGTTGGAGACACGAGGGCTGTAGACATCTTCAACTAGCAAAAGAGGGGTGGAATAATTACAATATAAAAATTAAAATGAATCACAGTGTTGTAAGGCACAGCCTCCAGTTTCCCTGGGTTGGAATCCTCTCGTCGCCCCCCCCCTCCAGCTCCAACAATTCTCCCTTCTCTCACTTTCCAGAAGGGCTTTGCTTAAAGCTCAATTTATAAAGTTTTAGCCCTTACCCCGTGGGAGGAGCTCCCAAATTCATTTAAATGAGGAAGAAGGAGGAGGGAGACGATTGACGCGAAGACTGAATCACCCAGGCGGTCAAACCCATAAAAACTTTCAAGGAGGGGGAGGGGGGGAAAGGAGGCGAGGGAAGAGAAACTTTTAAAAAACGTATTCCAAGCCGCGCTGTTATTTTTAAAAGTTTTTTTGGAGGGCACAGTTTGTGTAAATTACGTCTAATTAGGAAATGAGGGCAGGGGAGGCTGCGCTAAAGCTCCTTTGCCAAGATTTCAACGCAACATGTGACACTATTCATCTTGGGCCCCCCCCCCCCCCCGCTCCTTCCTTTCTTTGCTTAAAGGCGGGATCAACTTTTGCAACTGCTTTGAAGGCCCTGTTTCCCCGTCTATTGAATCAGGCTTCTGAGTTCTGATACTGCTTTCCCTCCCCGCCTCCTTATTATTTAACCTTCTTTGGTCCTTATGTTGCTTAGAGGGAAACAGAAACAAAAGCTTTAAGATTTAAAAAAAAAAACACGCCGAGGAAAAAGGAGTATATTGGTCCCAAGTCACTCGAGGTCTGTTCGTTTACTCGGAAGTAATCCCAGTTGAATTTAGTGAGACTTTTAAATACGCATTATTAGGTTCGGGCTGTACGGCTCCAATCCCAGGTTCCATTGACATTAATACGACTTACTTCCACGTCTGTAAGACTGGCGAATCGGCATGAATGTCCAGCTAGACTGTACAGGGTGTATCGGTGTGTGCCTGTGGAGAGGGATTCCCCTTTTTTTCATAACTGAATTTCGAGCAAAAGAGTGGTGTTCAGCTAAATTTCCTGTTGGACAAATGTTGCATGGTTAGCTTTCTGGAGGCTTTTTGTCAGTTTTTGTCAAACAGACTTAGGGACCAAGCCCGAACATGTCTACTTGGAAGTAAGTCCCATTGTAGTCAATAGAGCTTACTCCCAGGAAAGTGGCTTTAGGATGACACTATGCTGACGTTTCCACTAGGTCCAGTGGATACAGATACTTATTCTAACACTGGTAAATTATATTTCTACAAAAGCGACCGGATTTTTAGGGAAGTATTTTCTTTCTCCATTTTGCATGCTTCAAAAGCGACAAGTGGTTAGAGCTTTCTTCAGTGATAATACCCCCTTTCCCCTGGTTTTGCCCCCTATTCCATTCCTTGTCATTATTTCGCGAATGGCCGATTCCATGAGCTTTTGTTTCGCGGGGAGGGGGGTCGAGTTAGGGAAGAAACGCGTGTAGTGGAACGTGACTTCCCAAAGAGAGAGGCACCAGCATCTCCCATTTGCAGTTTAAATCCGTTCCCTCACTGCTGCCCCTATTTATGATACATTCAGGTCGCTTGGCCGCGTTGGTCTGAAGCAGCAAAACAAAGTTGCACTTCCATTTCACTGCATCTGAAGACGTTTGTGCCTTATACGTTGAACAAAGTTGGTCCTAAAAGGTGCCAGTGGACTCAAATTTTGTTCTGCCCCTATTCAAGTTGTGGGACACAGCGTAAGTGGAAACACCACTGTTTCTTTCCTTCCTTTATATTTCCGTGTGCCCTTGGTGTACTGCAGAGTCACCCACACAAACCCTCGGATGTTTATGGTACAACACTCTAGACTGCTCGAGCTGCGCTGCTATGAAACCGCGCGCCTTAAGTGCATTTTCCATCGCGACGCAATTAGGCCACCCTTGGTTACCCGCCTCTCTCTCTCCCGCCCCCCTTCAGATGACTGACGAAGGCTTTTCTGGCAGAGCTGGAGCTGAGGTCCGCCTGGCGTTTCCCGTCCCGAAAACGCCTTCCAGTTTGGCCAGGCTTCCATTTGCCTCGCTTTGATTTAAATCAATTGCCTCCATGTTCAAAAGCGCACCGCTGCCTTTTGGAGCGGACTTGTTTCGCTTTGTTCCACAAACACCCAATGTTATTCTCTCCCCCCCCCCCCCCGGGAATTGGCGAAATTGTGCTGCAGGAAGTGACCCACACTCGCAATATAATTTTAAAATGTGTTACTAGTTAAAAAGATGTTTTGTAATTTCTGCGTTTTTTGCATTATGGTCTTCGAGTTCTCTCTCCATCCACTCCTGAGATGTTTTTGGTAAACCGAATAAATGTATAACTCTCCGCTCCCCCCATCAACGCCAGATCGCATTACGCAAGAACATAAAACGCGGGAAGCCAGCACCCCTTCAGATGGGAGGATTCTTTCACTGAACGCGGGACTGGCAGGGGGAACGGGAAGGGAGGCGGGGAAGGGGTGCAGTTCTAGAATTGGTCTTGAGAGGGGGCACAACTTTACTTAGGTTTTTTCCAGGCAAACCTCGGAAGGGAATTTGCTGGAACTGGGTGTTACGGGCCGGAAAGAGAAGACTCGGATATGGCCCCTCCCTTTGTGCAAGGACAATCCGAAAGCACTTAGCCAATAAAGAGCGCTGCTTCTCCATACCTGTCATCGGAACTGCAAGAACCGCCTTCTGTCCTCGGCGTAGACGAAGGGCGTTTCACAAGTGACGGGGTGTGTGTTTTAAGAGTTCCCGCGGCTTTAATTCGAATGCAAACTTGTCTGCAATGTAAACTTTATTTAAAATTAACCACTTTAATCCCTACTCTAACGTTCGTTGTCAGATTTGCAACTCGAGTCTAACAAAATAAACCCAGTTGACTTCAGTGAATCTGGTTTCTTTATAAGTGTGTTGAAGATTGCACTCACAAGGTGATTTGTAAAGCAGCTAAACTTCCAAGAAAAACAAACCAAGGCCCCGGCCAGACGTGCGGGAAAACGCGTAGCCGTTGCATTCTGATGCGCTATTATGCGATTAGGCGGTGGCTTGCCCGCAGCAGCAAAGAGGACGGCGGGGGTAGGAAGCCGCGCGATGGCGTGATCACACCGGGAGCCTTCCATAGGTGGCCCGTGGCAAAGCGTTTGCTAGTACATGCGGTGTGCTAGTTTTTTACGGCTGCTTGCCACGGGCTCACCATGGGAGTGCTATGCCTCCCAGATGTTCCCGTGTGATCGTGCCCGGATACTCCGCAGGACTCCTGTGCCTTCAGCGGGGCAAATGCTCCGTGTGACCTGGGCCTACAAGTTGTGCTGTCTAGATCTGAAATTCAGCATAGGGAGGAATAGCAACAATTCAACCTAGTTACTACATCCTTTTTCTGTCTTGCTGGTTAACACTAGCTTGTGGCCTCCACAGAACATGTGGGTAGGTGCCCCTCCAGGTGGGACCTGGGGATCTTCTGGAATTACAGATCATCTCCAGACTACAGAGATCCATTCCCTGCGGGGAAATGGATGCTTTGGAGGGTGGGTTTTATGGCATTAGGCTCCACAGAGGTCCCTGTCCTCCCCGGGCTGGCAACCCTACATGTGGGGTTTCCATCTTTACAATTTGGTTCTGTTCATGAGAAAGCAAGCACCACTGGCATTCTGTGTTAGGAATATCCACACTATCATTGTGATTGGTACAATTGCATTATCCAGAAAAGATATCAGCAGGACATGGAGTAAGGACGGTGCTCCAAACTGCAGCAGTATATCAAAGCACAGCTCATAAAACACTTAAAACAACAAACTTATAAAATCTTTTAGTCACACTAATGATCCGTTATGAATGTAACTATTACACATATATAAATGGTTTTATATGGTGGTGGTTTTGAAAAATGCCACCATGGCAGACCATAGCAGCTCTGCAGGTGGTCCCTGCATGGTTGAGCACCTTCTTGGACACGTCAAGCTGCCCTGAACACTGTTTGTGCCCCAGGTTTGATCCCCAGTATCTCTACTTAAAAAAGACCAGATAGTTGGTGGTTCTTGGACTGCTGCCATTACTTGGAGTAGAGACAGATTAAGGCAAATCTGTGTGTTCATGTTTGTGAGGTGCTTGTATATGGCTTGCTGATTGGTGTGAACTGGCCCTGACATTGCTCTGCTTATGCTGGTAAACAGCCTATGTGAGCACCACTGTTCCCTCTAAGATGAGTTAGTGTGAGCTAGCTCACAGTTTTTTAGCCTGCGGCTCACACATTTTTGTCTCAGCTCAGGAAGGATGGCTCCACAGCAAACTAATTTATACAGTAGCTAAATCGCTCGCTCACAACTTTAATGCCAGTAGCTCACAAAGTAGAATTTTTGCTCACAAGACTCCACAGCTTAGAGGGAGCATTGGTGAGCACTACCTTATTTAATCTTCATACCATGTGCACTGACTCTTGGGAACAGGACTTTAAGATTCCTTGCCTTGCCTTTATCCTTATAATCTCTTCCTCTATATTCCATCAGCCATTTAAAGAAGAGAGGGAGCCATCCAAAGTGTGCATCAGAAGAGGCAGTCTTTTAGTTCTAGACTGGGGTCGGGGTGGTTGCTCTTCTGTTGCCAAATGTAAGGGCAGCAGCAACAACAGGAGCATGTTATTTTCTTCCTGTTGTTTATAGGATCTGTAGCCCATGTTTGTTCCCTGGCTTGGAGCCTTTGTGTTATTAAAAGCCCTCCTTTAATTGTTAGTTTAGAAACATCATGGCAGGGACTTCCCAAGGGTTGCCGAGTTCAAAGTAAGAAGCCTGAACAGATAACAGGTCCACTGTTAGGTTGACTTGAGCCAGGGCTTTTGTTAGCCTATTTATTTCTGACAATAATGTAAACTTGGGGGATGGGATGTCGTGTTGGTAGTGATGCTTGTACACCTTAAAGCCCAGTGCAATATGGACTGTTTGGAAACTGTAAGAATGTCAAACTAGAGTCGATGTTCATTTTAAATATAAAAGGATTTATTGGAGTGATTCTCAATTGATGAGTCTTTAGCCCCAGAAAGCTCTTCTGCCTTGATCACTAGCAATCTGATCCTGACCACTGATCAGGCCTATGCATGTAGCACTGGATTAGTTTCCTTGCATTGTTGGAACTCCACATGAGACCTGGCTATCACCAAACTGGAATTAGTAACTGGTAGCCTAGAA